GCCCATCCAGAATTGTATTTGGTTCCTGCAATAGCCCAGATGGCGTCAGAGGCACTGGTTGTTCCTTTTGGTCATCTGAAACATCCTTATCGAGTTCTGTTGACTTGTATGTGCTGTTACTGGACTTTTGGAGCCTTTCCCGGGACCGCCGAAGCTTAATGGTCTCGTCTGAAGCTGTAGCTTGTGACCTATAAGACACTGGGCTCTTGGGCTTTGTCTTGAGAAGCCACTTGAGTTCGCTCGTTAGATGATGTGTTACGGGACGTTCTTCAGTCTCTGTATCATCATTATCCGATTTTGGTAGGGTTTCTTCATCGCGATCCGGGCAACCATGGCTCCTTGTGCCGTAGGTCGAATGATCTTTGAACTCAGTTTTAATACCGGGATTCGCAGGATCTGGCTTCTTTGGCGCTCCAGTATCATGGCGTTGAAGCGCCGTGGGGCCCCTTGTTATGCCCTTCGTACTGGAAATAATATTATTGTTTTGAGTCTTGCGGGTTGAGCCTTTGGGTCTTCCCCGCTTGCGCTTAAGAGGCTCTATAGTCTGGTCCTGCATATCCCCAGCCGTAGACTCAACTATAGGCGCTGCTCTTTGGTTGGGCTTTGGTGACCTCGCAGCATGGATAATGAGATCAGCGCTTCGAATTCGATCATCTGTTGGCATGAGTGGCGATAAAGGCTTTCGGGTTTCTAGATGGCGTTTTGGTGCTCGGATCCTCGAAAGAACAAGAGGGGCTTCGTCGTCTGAAAGCTCCATGCTAGGAACGGGAGGTACATCAGAAGCATAGAGTTTGTCGTTTCCCACCTTGCGCTCTGGTGCCTCAGGGGCACTGCTGTTGAAAGGAGTCGCGGTGTCCTGTGAATCTGGTATAACCTGCCTTTGGGAGGTTATCCCCCTTTCGAGGGCTATTGTTCCCAGCGCATTGTCTTGAGGCTCCTCCGAGGACGAGGCACACTCATCACCGACATGATCGACGCTCTCAAAGTCTTTGCGAATGACTGGATCAGCTTTGTATAGCTCCACTCTCAAACTCTGGCCTGATTTCTGCCATTCTTTGGCGTCGTCCCAAGAGATCTTGCCCATATACTCAGTTTTTTTCCTCGCTCGGCCAGACCGTCTCCGACCAGAATCGTCTTCGTCGTTCTGCTGGGGCACTTTCACAGCGTTTCCATTGGTTTCTTCCAGTGCCCCTTCTGAATATTGATGAACCTCACCCTTCGCGGGTGGTTCTTTTGATGGGAGGACAAGACTTGCCTCAGGGGTCGACGCTACCTCAGTAGTCTCAGAGAACATCAAATCATCGTCTTCGTCGGTATCATTTATCGTTCTATCAGGGGCGAGATCTTCCTGATTATCGCTTGGCTGTTCCTCAGACGTGGATTTGTGATGGTCATCTGCAACTGCCTCCTCTTCCGTAGGAGAGCTGCTGGGGTGTCTGCACATCGCCTGCTTGGAGGATGCTTTCATAGAGCCAGCCCGCTTTGTCTTCTTGGCCCGGTTACGACCCCAAATCGACGTCTGTCCGTTGTGAAAAGGGAAGTCGTATCTGCCTCCGGTAAACCAAGGTCCTGGCATACTCGGTGGCATGTTAAAATATGGAGGAATATCGTCTCGACCCCAGGCTTGCATGGGAAACCCGTACATCCCTCCCCAGGGCCCAAATCCTGGTGTTGGCCCGAACCCAACTGACGAACCTGGTCCATAGGATGGAGGACCAAAGTGAGATTCGCTGGCATTCAACATGGCGTTATTATTTTGTGAGGGATCCATGGTCGTATCCATATCAGTTTGTAGTGCTTCCCGAGACACTCCGCTGTGAGTCCTTTGGCTTTTCGGCGTGCCTTGTTCTGTAAACGTTGGTTCTTGGTTATTCTGGTTCTCGCTCTGAGAATGTTGTACTCCTTTGACTGGTTCTTCGCTATCGGAATATCCATCCGTAAGGTCCTCGAGCAGAACTCCTTCATCTTCGTCGATGTTACTGTCGCCCTCCATCCATAGTCCTTCAACATCTCCCTCATCTCGCATATTACGCAAGTGACCGTTGTTAACCACAATTTCTCCGGTGTTCATGTCGATCTCGTCGCCAATACCCTCAAAGTCCCGGCTGTATTTTTCGATAATATGAGCCATTGTGGCTTGCAGTTTATGGTCAGCATTTGCCCGCTTGAGCGCAAGCTGAATATCAGGGTCTCGACGCATCCTAATCTCTTGAGGATGTGAGGCAAGTTCGTCATCGTCACTTTCATCTTGAACCTCTTTATGAGGTGAAGAGCCCCGTCGCCTTTTCTTTGTCGGTGGCTCCATTGTGACTATGATCGTAACAAGCCCTGAGGAATCTTTGTCGGCATTAAATCATGCATGATTTGGTGACATATTCTTTTTGAGGATGCATGGTAGCCCTCCATTTGATGGCTCCTGAATTCTTTGATGACGATATCTCGTTGGAGGAGCAACTGAAGGGTCTAGACGCGCCGTGACGCGTAAAGTGCTTGGATCCATGTGGATCTTATCGATCAATTTGGCGGGGTTAAGTCCTGGCTACAGTCCATCCATGCTTACCTTAATGCAGACAATCCATTATCACCATATGGACGCTATCGACCTTTGATAGCTTCATGTGACCTTATGAAATAATATGAAAGCCAGGCTTAGTTGCGATAGTTCTTTATTTGCAGTTAGTTTCTTTTGTTTGCTTGCTGTGCAATGAAGTATTACTAGTAGCTTATGTATTCTAAGTTTTCTCCCTATGATTCCGTACCCTGTGATCAACTGCGCATTGGCTCGTGGCCCCCAGTGCTAAACATAACCCGACGTCACCGCTAAGACATCCACCACACTATACTCTGTGCATTTCTTTACTTTCTCTGCCTTTCCTACTAACGACACGGCACGCTTTCTTAACAGCTCTGCACAGCGCATTCGTCCAGCAGCCGGCCTCGAACAATGCCTGCTCGTTAACCCAAGTATGAACTGCCAGAAATGCCGCCAGCCTCTTAGGCTGGACGGATCCCTCGAGGATCTCAACCCAGCCGCCTACGATGTGCTTGTTTGTATGTGGCCTGATCCTTTTTCTGTGCATGTATCTGACCTTGCTCTCCAGCATCTACATCTCCCCAGACCCTCAAGAAATCAACTGTGACGAGCCCACCGATTACGCAACCACAAGAGCAAGCGCGCAAGTCTCTATACGAAACAGTTTCAAGAAATACCGGGCCACCGACGTTCAAGCGCAACCATGGAGGGCATCCCCGCGATTCCTCTATGTCTTTTGTTTTGTTGTCCGAGTCCCAGATGACTCACCCGAGTCAGCCTACAGAGTCTCCCGCTATGCCAACACCACTGCGCCGCGCCAGCTCTGCCAGAAGTAATGGGGATAACGTCGACGCGCCAGTTGGAAACGAGATGGATAGGGTCAACCGTCTTTTCGAAATTCTATCTGCGCGATCCGATATCGACCACCCTATCTGTGTTGAATGTACGGAAATGCTTGTTGAGGGCCTACAGAAGAAGCTAGAGGTTGCTTCACGCGAAAGAGACGCCTATGTTAAACACCTGAAGGAGGCGAAAGCGAACAAACCAAGCGAAGAAGACATGAAAGCTCAAGAGGAAGCGCTGAGAAAAGCTGAGCAGGATAGAGCAACAGCTATGGAAGAGCTGAAAAAGCTGGAGTCGGAAAAGACTTCCTTAGATGAGGAACTTGTAGCCCTTGAGGAGGAGTCGCGACAACTAGACAAAGAGGAGGAGAAGTTCTGGAGGGAACGAAACGAGTTTGCCACCAAGATGGGTGAATTCCAGGCGGAAAAGGACAGCATCAACGCCAAGTACAGCAACGACTCCCAGCTCCTAGAAAAGCTGCAGCGATCTAACGTATATAATGACACCTTTTGCATCAGCCACGATGGGAGCTTTGCGACAATCAACGGTCTTAGGCTTGGCCGTCTCTCCAACAAACCGGTAGATTGGCCAGAAATCAACGCCGCATGGGGACACGCACTGCTACTTTTGGTTACTGTTGCGGACAAACTTTCCTACAGATTTGATGGATATGACCCGCAGCCTATGGGAAGCACCTCAAGAATCATCCGATACGAAGTACCAAGCCCTTCTTCCAGTCGAATAGGCAGTCGTGCTGTCAATGCCCCCCCAAAGAAGCATGTACTCGAGTTGTACAGCTCTGGAGATATGCCTCTAGGATTAACCTTCATGCACCGACGCTTTGATAACGCCATGGTTGGGTTTCTGGAGCTTGTGCGACAGCTGGGCGGGTATGTGCATAGGCAAACAGAAGCAACTGGTACACCTCTTAGCTTGCCATATAAGATTGACGGTGACAAGATTGGGGATGTCAGCATCAAACTCGGCATTGCGCAAGATGATGGATGGACGAAGGCGTGCAAGCTGACATTGACCTGTTGTAAGTTTCTGCTCGCGCACGCCAGCAACGTCACCTCCAACGCAAGGAACGGTGGGAACTGAATAGTTCCGTCGCTAGTTGATTGAAGGAACCTGGGGTTCTCTGGTTGGGGCTCTCTTGTGTCTCCCTTACCTCTGTACTAAAAGTGGTGGAGTTTTGGACAAGTTGGACGGCGTTATAGGGTGGAAATTGAGCATAGAGGCTGCGCCTATTCTGCCGTATAGAATCATTTGGCATTATGAATAGCAGTGAGCTGACAATGATTTATGCGTGACTGACTCGTTTCTAAAAGAGCGCAAACATTCAAATTGTTTGTTCCGGCCCGTATCAAACGAGAGTGGTTGGTGCCTTCTGCTAACTCAGGTAAGGACCTACTAGGTCTAGGCATGCCTCCTTATTGTGCTCTTATTGTGCTTGTTCAATACCTACATTAGTACTTGGCAAGAGATCAAGCCAAACCAGGAGCTCAGGCAGTTACTTATCTTCGTGATTCACGTTCTCGCTGCACTTCTCCTTTCAAACTTTCACATACACAACAATTCCCAACTTCATCAACCTGAAGCATCCTCTACCAAGCACTCAAAAATGGGCAGTTGTGCTCACTGTGGCAAGGCTTCAACCGTGGGGTGCTCTCATTGTGTGGGAGCTCCAGAATACGACGACGGAGATGCTGTCACTACCTTCTGGTGCAGCCCTGAATGCCGGGCAGCTCACGAGCCAACTCATCAAGAGTGTTGCTACAACCTGCAACGACGCAAAACTCTTTTACGTACAGCAAAGCTACTCAAAGCAGCACTTTTGGCGTACAAGGAGGTTGTATACGACATTCATGTGACAAGAATCTCACACGACAAGGACAACGGAACTCTAGTCCTCACACACAAACCGAACCGAATCGAGCGCCATCCTTTCCCGAGCCACCTCACAAGTATCGAAGAACACAAACAAGCTGCTCTTCTAGTAAACCAGTGCACTATGTCGATTTCTCTACTTGGTCCGATGTCCAGGGGTCTCTTGGCCGGTAGGTCAAGCCGTTTATTGGGATCCAGGGGTCATCTTGCTAATAGTTATTGATTAGGAATTGTCTCTCGAATGGATGTCGCCGTCGTTGAGATTCAGAATCCTCCCCTCACTATCAAATTTGACCCCCATGATGGCATCGTGGCAGACAGGAAGTTCCATACCATTGTCGAAGCGACGTTGGACTCATCGGAGGAACGATGGCTGATCGACGTCACAGGCTGTCAGTATGGCTTCCGGGATATTCTGCTTCCCCTTGAGAAGTACATTGCACAGAACAACTGCTCCTCATATGAGCTGTTACAGCCTTACGGTCACACTGAAACCACCGACCAGGACGAGCTTCCACGCTCACCTTTGATCATACTCACGAGAGGGCCCAGTGAACAACAGTTGGCAGACATTGAGATCGAGAAAGGTTATCGCCGACACTTCGCCGCTCTAGTTCGCGCAATAGTTAATCAGGGATTGACTCAGGGGCCTGACGCTCAATTTGCAGTCACTCTCGATGAATTGGTCCGCAGAGTGATCACATACATGTCAAGTTATCAACCTCAGACGGGGGCATACCAGGAGAGCCCTACGTACTGAGCGCTCTCTACTGGCTTGCTCGGGTCCAGATGGGTCTGCGGGAACACAGAGGACTAGTTCCGATGGTTGGCTGCATAAGTAAGGCAGCCCAAGGCTTACTACGGGGCTTTTTGGAAGGCGGTGCAACCTCGTGGATGGTAGCCTGCTTCTGCACGTAGCCAAGAATTGAGAAGTGATTCTTTTCTCAATGAGTCGAAAGCGATTTGCTTATTTCAGAAATAAATTTCGGTGTGAACTGGGACAGCGACCTCAGGTTAAGGTGCGAAAAACGCTCAATCGTCTCAAGGTCTACTAAATAGTCCCTAGAGTAAATGAGCTGTTTGGTGGAGTAATGATCTGGGAGCCTGGGAGCCTGGGAGCTTACATATGTACCCTCACAATAGCTTCACGCTATAAATCCCCACACATCAAACGACGATCCACTTTTGACCTCTAGCAATGCCGTTTAAGGCTGCGTAGGGCTGTGCTGCAGCTGGCATGCCCGGTATCTCCACATCACTCCAAGTGCTAAACCCAGGGAGCAGGAAACTAGACGTTGAGAGAGGATGCCAAAATAAACTCGTCAGAGACCCCCCCTAAGCTTAGACAATTTAGGCAAACTTGCCTAAATCTTTCTATCATCTGGGAATTGAGGTCCTAGGGTTTCTTGCCTCTCTATAGGCTACTCCAGAACTGTGCTACACTTGCTCAAGGCAAACAGCACGGGGCTTGACACTAGGCGTTGCTGCCTTGACTGTTACATAGCTAATGATAGCGGAACTCCTTGATTGGGTGAGCTGTTACTCAATTTCGTGATAGGTCAGTCTCAGCTTACACAGATTTATCAATTGCTCTATAAAGTAGACAGGATGCTCACATTTTCTCTCCTAGTCGGCTCATTCTCTCACCTTCAGACCCCCTTGACATAACTGTCTCTTGATTCCTGTGTCTTTCTTGTCTCTCTATAAGTTTGTTTGTTCTTCAGAATCATCATGGACACTCCTCAGCCTCGTGAAGTCAGCGTCGTCGACGGCGATGACACCAGCTCCATCGTGAGCTTCGAGGACATCCCCCCAAGGTCTAGGCCAAGATATAGACATAGTCCGCATATGGCCTCTATGCCCAGGGTTTGTCCAAAAACAGAAATCCTCAAGATCGATGGAAAAGTGCCAGATGTCCTTCATGTGGTCAAGTATCTCGGTTGGCAAAATAATGTCATAGAATGTCAGTTTTCACCCATGTATTCTCTATGTTGATGTTGAGCTAACCGTAAGATAGGCCGCCAAAGCCCCGTCGCTTTCAAGCATGTTCCCCCGTATGGATTCAATGGCGATATCAACCTCGTTGTCGATGATGATGCAACTGGAGATGAGAAACCCGTTCTTGAGATCATCACGAAGGTCTTGCCCCGGAGCCGATCCCCCATCCCTATCCACCGTCGGTCTCGAGGTCCTCGAGACCAGGAAGACAGGCCGATTACTGAAGCATTCGAGAACATTGATTATCGCTACGACAATCTATACCCAGACGAAGGTCAAGATCCCGAAGTTCCTGGTCCAGAAATTTCCCGTCCCTTCATGATCATTCATTCAGATCACCTTATCAATGCCCTCAAGGCTGTAGTGGCCTACTATCCTTACGTCAGCTTTGACGGCAAGCCTGTGAAGATCAATGCCCCTTACCGAGTCCTCTACCATCATAGACAGGAGCTCGCCCGTTACAAGGATAATCAACCATTGGCCCATGACCCTGACTACGCCGCGACTACATCAAAGCATATCGACGTTCTCCTCAAGTTCCTTGACGATAACCTGGGCGATGAGATCCGCCGTGAAGAGGAGCGCCATCAACTTGCTACCCCTAGGGCTACCTTTGATCTCTTTTGGCTTCTGCTCAAGCCAGGAGATGTCTTCTACGCAAAGCGCTATGATATCTGGACCCCATATGTCATTAGCAGCGTCACTATGGGACAGGGACACAACAACTCATGTGATGTCTACACCATCAATTGCTGGATGCTCGAGTCAAATGGTACAAAAGTCAATCGCTTCATGTTCAGCTACAACCTCTCTCCCTGGCTTGGTGAGCAAGCCATCGGGAGCCTTTCCATCATTCCTGCAGCTTTTTGGCCTGAAGACCTCGAAGCCCAAGGCGGAATGACAATGAAGGAAAAGAACATTGCCCTAGGCAAGCTCTATTGGGAGCTTTTGAAGCGGCCAACTTACATGGACTACGAGGGACTTCTTGTGAATTCCGGGCCGAGCAACAGACAATGCCGTGGGCCAACCGGCTTCATGTGCGGCCGTGTTATCTGTGATGCCCCTGGATTTGACACATTCTATAATCAAGGACCCGATAACATGCGCGGAGGTCGCTATCACCGCATCCCGGTTTACAATGAAACCGCGCCTCCTTCCAAGGACCATCTTCCCAAGGATCTTCCGCGATGTGGCTGCGATGCCTGTATGGCAAACCGCCCAAGCTATAGTACCGAAAGTCCGTATCATGGATTTGAAGACCTTGATCCTACCCAAGACTCTCCCCCAGATAGCGACCTCTTCTATCTTGTGTGCAGCAAGACTATGCCAGGATTCCTCCTTGGTGACCGACGATGGGGTCACTTAAACATCGCCAACCTGAAGCAGTTGAAGACCGACAAGGAAGCTTTCAAGTATCTTGTTCTTGATGATGAGATCAAGATGACTGTCAAAGCCTTGATTGGAAAGTTTGCTGCTGACCTGGGAGACGGGAAGCTGTCCCCTTGGGGTAATGACTTTGTTAAGAACAAGGGAGAAGGCCGAATCTTCCTGCTCCATGGCGCACCCGGCGTTGGAAAGACTTGCACCGCTGAATGCGTTGCCGAGCTCACCAATCGGCCCCTTATTTCACTTACCAGCGGTGATCTCAGCGTTGACTCATTCAATGTTGAGGCCAACTTGAGCTACTTCCTTGAGCTTGGCCAACGCTATGGTGCTCTTGTACTTCTTGATGAAGCGGATATCTACCTCGAGCGCCGTCGCTCTAAGGATATCACCCGGAACGGGCTTGTATCTGTGTTTCTCCGGGCCCTCGAGTACTATCGTGGAGTTCTCTTCCTGACGACCAATCGTGTTCAGTCATTTGATACCGCATTCCTCAGCCGTATTCATGTCGCATTGCATTACAAGAGTCTCACTCACGAGGACTGTGAGCGCATCTGGACTCATAACTTTGATCGCTTGAGCCGAGATTCAAACGGGTTGATCCATGTCTCTGGTGCGGCTCGCGACTTTGTGTGGGATAGCCAAGATGTTCGTAGCCTCAAGTGGAATGGGCGAGAGATCCGCAATGCCATGCAAACAGCCCTCGCTCTGGCTGAGAATGAGGCTCACGAGGAGAATTTGGAGCGGGTTACAATCACCGAGAAGCATCTCAGGGCAGTTGTGAAGATGAGCCGTGGATTCCGCGACTACATCAAAACTGCAGTCCCCCTTGAGGGATTTGAGAAGACTCTCAACGATTCCGACGAGGAGTGAGACAAGGGGATTCAAATTACCTCTTATTGTGTGTGTGTGTGTGGTGGTGATTTTATTGCTTTCGTTGAACGACATATGTAGTGAAGGCAATCTATTTCGCAGGCTCAGCGTCCATTCAGGAGTCTCTTTGTTAGCACATTAGCTCTTAACGATTTATGACCCCCAGATTGAATACAAATGAAATTCATGATTTACATACAGTTTTGTGACGATAGCAACATGTAATTGGCGAGATACAAATATGTGCGATTGGTCCTACAGGGTCTTCCATCACCTCTACTAGAGTATATTAAATCTACCTAGTGATCTGTGCTGTGAAAAACTTAAGTTTGCAACAAGCTATGGATATTAGGATATCATACTTATAAACTGGGTTGATGCATTGTTGTTCATACTTGGCGATACATATGTCTCAAAATTTCGGCCATCTGCCGAACGTCAACAGCATCCACTGCCCAACGCTCCAGTGTGTGTATCGCTAGTTCAATGAGCATTTGCCACTGATCAGGAGGATGGATTCGGTGCGGATTAGAGGCAGCAGCAAGAATAATGCATGCGCTTAGGAAGATCTTACGAGATATTAGCCATGTACCACCATGACGCCCGTGGAAAGCGAGACGATGGATCATTTTGGCACAGATATCGACTTCTTTGAGCGCAAGAGTGTGCATCTGAGGAAAGACAGGATCATCTTGAGGACAGTGCAGCAGGTAATAAAAGATAGGGCGAAGCGTATACTCTTGCCAGAGGGATGCCCTGCCTTGAAGAGCAGATGCAAATTCCTCTTCTGGAAGTCTATCGTTTTCAAACTGGACTGCAGCAGGAAGATGGTAATGCCTGAAGCTCCTGTCAGTTTGTAGCCCACGTTAAGCCAAGTAGAAACTTACCACTGCGATATCTGTTGCTCAGATTCATGATACTGGCGAATCAAGTATGTTGGGTGCTTCATCCAATACTCTTCCCCATTTCTGTACAAAAGGTTCAAGGTCTCATCTACCGTACGCCGGATGGAAATTTCGGACAGATAGTAGTACCACCCTCGTTCGTCAACATAGCGTTGCTCTTCATCCTGGTCAATATGTGAGCCTTCACTTCTCGGAGTCTGCCCAGTTCCAGCCAATAAGCCTTCCGGGGGTGTTGGAAGCGGCTCTGGGTATGAGAAACTCTCGAGGGCACTCGGTCGCAATCCTAGTTCAAAGACAAGCTCACTGCAAACGAATCAACACTCAACTACCAGATATATCGGTGATCATTACTGACCTTTCTGCTCGAAAGCAGGTCCAGAAGAGTCTCTGCTCTAAATGATAGTCTGCCGGGTTGTTTTGCCGAAAAGGCACTCGGGGTCTTTCACCACGCTGGCGCAGGTGAATCTCCAGACGGGAACAGGCTTGTTGAACGTAGTACCACGCCCTCAACGGGCGAAAGGCAAATTTCTCGAAGATGGTCGCCAAGACAAAACACTGAATATCTTCAATAGTATTCCCAAGAAGACCCATCCTCTTTTGCGCTGCTGCATAGTGTGGTTCAGCCCTGGGACCCTGGTCGGGGTCGTCTCTTTGCCGAAGCTGCTCCCGAGTTGGCAGGACAAGATACTCATTTGGTTTTATCCAAAAGCCAGTATATTCAGCCAGAGCACATGACAACAGCTAGAATTGTTAGGTTGATAGTATATGAAGAGAAGTGGCGGGCTTACAACGAGGCAGGATGGAGTGTCCCATTTCAGACCATTTTCTTCTGTAGTACGAGCATGCCTCAGGAGTTGCTGGCCGTCCAGAACCGGATTTCGGGGATGCACATGTGCAAGAAACTTTCGGCAGAGGGTGACAAATGAGGATTCATCGATGCCCTTCCCAGTACTATTTGGTTTCTGTACACTGCTTTCTTTGTATCCCGGACTTAGTGGGAACGAGTCAATGTCACGGGCATCGCTCGGGATAATGTTGCTGAGTGCCGGCCATTGAAGCAGGGATTCACAACGTAGAGCAGCAAAGGGAAGCCGCTCAGATTCGTGCGGTTTCACTTGTGATCCCTTTTGTGTTTCGTATTGTGCACCAGCAGAGAACCTTGTCCATGGACTGCCAGCTGCGTGTGTTTGGGGGACTTCGATGTTAGTGAGCATAGGCTCAACATCTGAGAAACGTCGAGGTGAGTGGTTGGTCTTCTGGAGTATCTCTTTGATTTCATCCAGACGGTCCAGTATCTGACGATTGGAAACTGCATCTTCCACCCCATCATCTCCCATCTCACTGTCTGCGTCGGAATAGATGCACTTGGCTCTATGTCGCACACAAAAGCCACATGTTGGACGAACATTATCGCACTTTGTCTTACGGACACGGCAGAATTGACAGGCCGTCACAGCGCGTTTCCTGCGAGTAAAGTCTGTGGTGGTAAGTCGGCGCTGTCGTTTACCCGATCCTTGGGAATTGGCATCATCGTGATCTTGACCGTCTTGGGTGGTGGGCTCTTCCGGCGAGTTGCAGGAGAAGCCTGGCGATGTTGCAGATGTGGTCGGTAACACGGTTGTTGTACTGCCTCTTCTGATGGGAGCACGAAGGTCGAATGAGTATGACATTGGGATCCGAGAGTTGATGCCGGTCATGGTGGACGTCCATTCATACAAGAATTACTGGCTCTTGACATCCGTTCATTCATCCATTCATTGACGGCGGAGGCGGGGAAGAGCGGACGGAAGCCCGAGGTTGGAGAAGCCGAAGCGGGCAAAGGTCATCCAGAAGCTGGGTCTTCCGAAGACGCCAATTTCTTTTTAGTTTTGTAGCCATTTTTGGGGTATCATGAAAGACCATGATTGCCCGCGGTACAAGGTGGAAGGCGTCATCACCATTTGCCATTGCGGCATCCTCTCATGGTGTGGATGTGATAAGGAGTGGAGTTTTGGTGTTCCACTACGAGTTTGAGCTTTGAGTGCATCGATCTCGATTTTATTTAGAATACATGTGTTTAAAGTATGCGATGTGTGTTCGAAGTGAGAGAAACTTGGAGGTTGGTGAATTTCGGTGATGAACATAAGTAGGAGGAGCCAATATCGTCGATATGCATAGACCTGCGTGGTGTTCCCTCATGTTGACCTCGGGTTGAATAGAGAAATGCGATTTAGATACAACAGCTGTGAAGTCTGAAAAGTGTGAATTCATTTGGTAGATAATAGATGAAGCCTTTCACAGTCCCTTCACATACGAATTCAAAAAAGGACTGTTTATACCGGTACAGGGTTACGGTTACTCTACAACGGCTTGACTGGCTAACTGGGTATGGTGTACCTAAACGGTTCGTGTGAAGTTTGGTGGCCGCCTAGCTGATCCCTACAGTTCGTAGCCAAGCAGTATGTAATGATCAGAAATCTCAAGCTACCGCAATTATCAAGGGCACAATCCTGGCATAGTGATGGACAATGCCGTACTTTCGGAATATTTGATTCCGACGTCTCACTCCAATGTTTTGTCAAATGCCCGATGGTATCAGACTCCAGATATTTTCTTACTACGTTGACTAGGTAGTCTATGTGTCTTAGATCTCGCTCGTATGGGTGCTTTCTACATCCTGCGCCAACCAATAATGCATGTCTCAGGAAACCATCCAGGCTTGGCTTGGTGAGTCACGTCGCCGGAACTCTGAATGGGTGTTGATATAGTTCAACAAGGGTCACAGCAGATGCTATCAAGTTGATCATGAATTTGGGCAATTGTCATTCTTCCGTATAACATCCAGTTTTAAGAAAGACTATCCGTTGAAGCTGTTAGTATCTGACCTTGCCCGCTCTGAGATCGCATATGTTGATTGGCTTTCTTGGAAGATGAAAAGAAAAACTCGTTTATACAATATACAATGTCTAATTCAATCGTATCTCTGTCTGTCTAAGGCTCTCCGGATGGGATGGATAAGACGGGATAGTATTGCCCGCTCGTTCAAGGTCCTTCCATAAACGGTTCGCCGGGCCCACCTTCCAGATGTCCACTGAATTTAGCGATCTCCGCACGGGCCAAACGTCCCGGGAACGGCATTCCCAACCCGCTGGGTGGACTTTGACTCTCCGTATTACACCACGCTCAGAATAAATTCTTTAGTTAATCGCCAACTACGATGCGAAAACATAAGGTACTCAATCGAAATTTCCAAGGCAGCTGTGCATAGCACGTCATACTGCCTGGAATCGAAGTTAGTAGCCCAAGGCATCAATTCTACTGCCTATCTCCGGACACAACCTCGCCAGATCCTCCTCATCAAATCTGTCGTTCAAGATGGTTGCTGATCGTACTGGCCCTTGTTAGTCTCCGCCAACCACATGAATGGTTTGTGGTGTTGATTGGCAGGCTCGAAAAGACCCTGCATTGTCACCTCTAGTGGCTGACGAGCGGTGACTGAACGATGCCGGCCTCATTTTGCTTAATGTAAGAGACACAAAAGAGGAGACTTGTCAAAAGATCTTGCCCGAGAGCCCCGGTGCTGGGTGATATGGAGTATCATGTACCTCCGTACTAGGAAGTACACTTGATAGCCGGATCCCGTTGATACCATACTATGGCATTCACGTTCTGCACATCATACCTTGCATTAGAAACGAACTATACTCTTTATGGGTCGCTGATGCCTCGCCGTGAAGAGTCATGGGCAACCTGATATCAAAGGAACTTTTTCAAATCTGCTAGGTTCCCAACAATGGACCTTTGTGAGATATCTCGCAATCAGATCCTTGCCCCCCTCTACCAACCCCCCAGACTATTTTCTCTCAACCCTGTTCGAGCGGTTCGTCGAAGCACTAAGACTAAACTCGATCAAAAAACCGCACCTCTTGATTATCTAACCGAATCTTTCTGACGTCTTGTTCCGTTGACTCAACCCACTCACCACGGATTTAAAGGGTCCTTGTCTTTTTTTTTTTACAAATCCTTGAAGCGGCATCAGCCAGCTTACATGCGTAAGGCGTGACTGATTTCGAATATTTTTAAAACCTGTGCTGGAGTCCTTGTTTATCTTTCCCTTCTTTTCCCTCGTCATTTCGAGCACGTCAAATGTATAGACTGTTTCTAGCCTGGCCCTTTTAAGATTTCACAACTCACTGAGTATAACCACCACAACAACCATACCAGAGGGTGACGACAAAAGTTATATTCTGGCGTTTTTCGCCATTGCTTCTCACGACTCTTCTTCAGCAGATCTGCCCAGGAAGCCTCAATCATGGGTGTGCCCAATAACATCGATGTGATCTTGACTGGCACAGGCCTTGTTGTGGTAGCATTGGCCACTACGCCTGCTCTAGCCACAGCTGTCGCCCAACTACGGAAGCGCACTGCACGGGACAACTTCTATGAGGATGCTGATGGCAAGAGTACGCCTGAAAGCTTGGCCGCTTTCTCAAACCGTCTTCCCAAAGTTTTCATCCTTGCCTTGTCCACTGTCGGTCTTGGAACATCGATTGCAATTTCAGTACTTCAATCGCTTTCGCAGTCAGACTCGCTTTTGCTTGAGAATTGGCTCATTGCTGGGGCATGGGTGAGTATTTGGAATGGAATGGCAATATGCAATGGTCACTGACGTTCTTCTCTAAATAGGCTCTTATTCTTCTCCATGCCATCTCCTTGAGTGCCCATCATGCGCCTGTAAAGGTCCACGATCTTGGCCTGTGGCTTTTTGGGTCTTCTCTCATTGTTACCACCATTGCTGTGCCCCAATTGATTAAGGAGGCTCAGTTTTTTACTCGAGACAACACAGTTGCTCTTGTTCTTCGTGCCGTGAATGTTGGTGCAGTCGTCTTCCTCTGCCTCTTCAGTGTGCTGCTTCCACGCCGACCTGATGTCTTCTTCAAAGACCAAAAAGTCGACGAGCAATGGACTGTTTCTGCTTTCAGCCGCTACACGTGGTCCTGGGTAGACCCACTCCTTTCTTTCGCGGTCAAAAAGAATGATCTGGATGCCAGCGACGTCCCCCATGTAGACCGGACCCTGAGAGCTGCTGATTTGAAAGAGGACTGGCTCGCATCCAAACCTCAAGGCAGTCTCTTCCGCTCTCTGTTTTGGGCATACAAAGGTTCCTTTATGGTACAGCTCTCCCTTACTGTATTCCGCAACATCCTGGCCTTGTTACCTTTCTGGACCATGTTGCGTGTGATCAACATTCTCGAACAGCGCGATGTAGGACTATCCGGAGCATCCAACTTGGAGCTCTGGATTCTGATTTTTACGATGGCTGGCTTTAACCTCTTAGATGCTGTAAGTGCTTCATATAAACATTTTTGTCGTATACTGATGTGTCAAAGTGGGTTGAAGGATGGGTGTTCTGGTACTCATTTGCGAGCATTGCTCTCCCTATCCGGTCGCAATTGTCAACACTGATCTTCGAAAAGTCGCTTCGACGCAAGAACGTCAAGTCTGCAGATAAGTCGAAAGAGTCAGATGAGCCGCAAGACCAAGCGGAAGACAAGAAAAATGAAGAAGATGCCGATGATGGCACAAGTGTGTTGAAGTCTCGGCAGGCAATCGTCAACCTTGTTGGTGTCGATGCGTTGCGAATCTCGAACTTCACGGGTTTCCAGTTCCTGATTATCAACAGCGTCTTCAAACTGCTATTTTTCTCATTCTTTTTGGTTCGCTTGATTGGATGGATTCCTTTCACAGCTGGTCTTATAGCTTGGGGTCTTACCCTTCCCGCTAACACCTACTTCTCTCGAGAATTGCTGTCCAGATCGGATAAGTTGATGAAGCTCCGCGATGAGAAGTTAGCTGTGGTCAACGAAGCTCTTCTTGGAATGAGACAGATCAAGTTCGCTGCCCTAGAGAGTCGCTGGGAAAAGCGCATCTTGGCTATGCGAGAGAGGGAACTGAAGACCTTATGGGGACTTTTTGTTGTCGATACCGGTCTCTTTGGATGCTGGGTCGTCAGCCCCATTTTGCTTGCTGCGACATCACTTGCCGTCTATGCTGTTATGAACGGTCAACTTTTGCCCTCTGTTGCCTTCGTTAGCATTGGAATTTTTAAGGCTTTGGAAGTCTCGCTCGGTGTGCTACCAGAACTCATTACGATGGGAGTTGACACGTTTGTCTCCTTGAAACGAATCCAAACGTATCTCAATGGTCCCGAGATGAAGAATACGCTTTCCGAAGGCACAGATGTGGCTTTCGAAGACGTATCTATTGCCTGGCCCGAAGATGACGAAACACCCGATGAAGATAGGTTCATCCTGAGAAGTCTCAACATAAGATTCCCCGCTGGTGAACTTTCGGTGATTTCTGGAAAGACCGGTACAGGAAAGAGTTTACTTCTTTCTGCCATTCTTGGTGAAACTGATGTATTGGAGGGTTCTGTATATGTGCCTAACACCATCGCCCCAGAAGAGCGTCGCGATGCCCAAGCAAACCTCGGCGACTGGATTATTCCTGGATCTATCGCTTATGTTGGCCAAACTCCTTGGCTCGAGAGCGCATCTCTGCGTGATAACATCTTGTTTGGACTCCCTTTTGTCGAGGAACGCTACAACCAGGTCGTTGATGTGTGCGCTCTTAAGAAGGATCTGCAGATTTTGACAGATGGCGACAAGACGGAGCTCGGTGCAAACGGCATCAATCTGTCTGGCGGTCAGAAATGGCGCGTCACCTTGGCTCGGGCCATTTACTCACGAGCCGATATCTTAGTAATGGACGACGTCTTTAGTGCTGTCGATGCACATGTGGGCCGCCATATCTTTGAGAAGTGTGTCACGGGCGATATTTGCAAGGGACGTACTCGAATCCTCGTCACTCACCACGTTGCTTTGGTGCAGTCGAAGGCCAAGTATATAGTGGAGCTTGGTGAAGGTGTTGCTCTGCATGCTGGTTTGATTTCTGACTTTATCAAGGATGGGACACTGGAGGAGATTCGCCAGCACGAAGAGACTGCGCAGCAAGCTTCTGAAGACGAGACTACGGATTCCTCAACGGCAGTCAATTCCGAGGAAGCATCCATCACAGACCCAGCTGAGAATGATGAGAATAGCACGCTGCAGAAAGTGCCCTCCAAGAACGCTAAGCAGTTCATACAGGAAGAAGTTCGGGAAAGGGGTGTCGTCAAGAAGCATGTCTATCTGACCTATCTGCAAGACAGTGGCGGCGTTGTCCTTTGGAGTATTTGTGCACTTGTTTTTCTTGGATATGAAATTGGCATTCTTGGTGAGCATTATAAATCTATGGTCAAGTTTACCGCTAATATTGATGTCAGGTCGAGCATGGTGGCTTCGAATTTGGACCGGTGATGTCGACGAAAGTATTTCAGTTGGCAGCATCCAGCAGCAACATGGCCACGCCTCAGTATTTTCACTCCAGCATTTCCCTTACTCCTCTGCACCCGAGTTCAGGGCTAGTGGAACTCACTACGATTTGAAGTACTACCTATGGATCTACATTGCCATTTCCAGTGCTACCGCAATTGTTGGCACATTCAGGTTCTTCTGGGCTTATTTCCTTGCTATCAAAGCGAGCCGATCACTCTTTGAAAAGATGCTGTTTACTGTCCTACATACTCCTCTCAGATGGCTCGACACTGTTCCCGTCGGCAGAATTCTGAATCGATTCTCCTCCGACTTCAACATCATCGATAACCGTATCACTATGGACTGGACTCAGTTCATCTCTAACTTGCTATCCCTGATTGGTGTCTGTGTGGCCGCCTTCTTCGCGTCCGGCATCGTGATCCCCTTGGCTATAGTTCTTCTTGGGCTCGGTATCCTACTGGGTAATAGGTATCTCTATGGCGCGCGACCACTAAAACGACTCGAGAGTAACTGCAAGTCTCCGGTCTTCGAGCTCTTCAACGCAGCTCTTGCGGGTGTGTCGACAATCCGAGGCTACAAGAAGACACAGGTCTATATTGACAGGATGTATGAGAAGCTTGACTCGTGGAGCATCATCACCTCTTACATGTGGCTTGTGAATCGCTGGATGGGTCTACGTATGGGTCTTATTGGTACATTGTTCTCGACTATCGTCGGAATAATTGTTATTGTGAGCCCTAGTATGGACGCTGCTTTGGCCGGTTTCACCTTGTCTTTTGCCATGGATTTTGCCGAGAGTATCCTCTGGACCATTCGAAACTATGCTGGTATGGAACTGAATATGAACTCAACCGAGCGAGTTGTCGAATACACCGAACTTGAGACCGAGTCGCTTGAGGGAGAGAAGCCTTCTGCCGCGTGGCCTACTTCCGGAACTATGGAGATTAAGGATCTCGAGGTTTCATACGCCCCTGAACTCCCACCAGTGCTCAGGGGGATCTCCTTTGATGTCAAGAATAACGAAAGAGTCGGTGTTGTGGGGCGTACGGGTGCTGGAAAGTCATCTCTGACTCTTGCCTTATTCCGATTTTTGGAGGCCCGTTCTGGTAGCGTCACCATCGACGGCTTGGACATTTCCAAAATTGACCTGCATAGCTTACGATCTCGCCTAGCCATCATTCCTCAGGTATGTGTATTCGCTCTTAGTTTTACTGCATGAAGACTGACATCTTCTCAGGATCCTGTGCTTTTCTCAGGAACAATCAGATCCAACCTTGACCCATTTGAGGACAATACAGATGATGAGCTTCGCGAGTCACTGGGTCGTGTTCATCTTGTCGACTCACAGCCAGTGACACCTACTAATGAGCCCGCCTCTGCGGCAACCTCGACACTTGCTGCCAAGAATACGAACATCTTCCGAGATCTATCAAGCCCAATCTCTGAATCTGGCGGCAACCTATCTCAGGGCCAAAGGCAACTGCTCTGCCTCGCTCGTGCCATTGTGGCACGTCCTAAGATCATGGTACTTGACGAGGCCACATCCGCCGTCGACATGGCTACCGATGCCCTTATTCAGCGCAGCATTCGAGAGGAGTTTACAGACAGCACACTCATCGTCATTGCGCATCGTCTGAGCACCATTGCCGATTTTGATCGCATCCTCGTCCTTTCAGACGGTCAGGTTGCAGAGTTTGGAACTCCCAAGGAGCTTTGGCAACAAGAGGGTGTGTTTCGTGACATGTGTGAGAGCAGTGGAGAGAAGGAAAAGTTGAAACAAACGATATTTGGCTAGATGATGAAAAGAGTTTAGGACCTCGATCCTAAACGATAAAAGTACTGAATTTAGTATAGCTTTAGTATGCCCTTAGATTGGTTATCTTTTGCGCCGTGGTCTTGTTTCCTGAGGCAAGGGTATCAGTAGAGAAATCACACGATATGCATGTCGCGAATTTTGAGAGAGTGCGCTTGAATTTTGAGACGAGTCATTGATGGCAAGGAAGATTATACACCAAGAAACATTTCTATTCTCTTCAGAGTATATAGCTCGCCGTCAAACAAGTTTACATCAGAACATTTGTCACAGAATAGCATAGGGATCAACAAAGGAACCTGCAACCATATGCCTAAAATGTGATGATAGTACTAATCCTCGCGAGACAAGCAGCCGACATTTGTTGAAGCCCTAAATCTTGGTGACACCGAATTCATGCCCTGGGTCAAACATTCCTGTTTCTGAGTAGTAGATCTCCCATAAATCGATCAGACGATCCATGATCTCGGGGTTATCGTCAGCGAGATCGTGCAGCTCGCCGGGATCGTTCTTCAGGTTGTACAGCTCCCATTTGTCCTTTCCCCTCGGTACGGTCATATACAAAGCCTTCCAGTGACCCTCCCTGATGGCTCGAAGACCGAATAGTTCCCACCCAGTGATCTCCTTCTCCTCATCGTGAAAAGCGGGAGATTGATCTTCGAGATGCGGCACCCATGAGGAACCCCTGACGGGGAACACTTCTCTGCCTCGAAATTGTCTTCCTGGTAAGGGGACACCGGCCAAGTCAAGGACTGTTGGCAGAATATCCATGACTGTGCAGAATGAGTCGGTATGCGATCCGCCAGTCTTTGAAAAAGGAGGGTATCGAACAAGGCATGGACATCTAATACCGCCTTCGGTGATCCAAGTCTTGAAACCCCTAGAGGGCGCCATTGACGCGCATGCCCACTCAGGACCATACCAGATATAAGAGTCCGCCATTCCCATATTGTCAATCGAGTTGTTATAATATTTGTTGATGATCCTTGGGACACTACCAACACTGCCCATCATGGGAACAGCTTCGAGCATAGCCCCTTCAGCGCCGTTGTCCGACATGAAGAGGACAAAGGTATTTTCTAATTCGTCAACAGAGTCGAGATAGTCCACCACGCGGCCGATATTAACGTCTATGAGATCTACCATAGCAGCATAGACTTCCATCTTCCTCGCCGACTCAGCCTTCTCCGTGGGCGACATCTTGTCCCACAGTTCGACTGTCATAGGTGCTGGCTCCGTGTCTTCAGAGATAAGTCCCAGTTTAACGAGATTCGCCAACCTTCGTTTGCGCAAGGCTACTGGCCCTTCGTCGTAGATACCCCTATATTTCTCGATTGTCTCGCGCGGCGCCTGTAGAGGCCAATGAGGTGCTGTGAAGGGCAGATACGCAAAGAATGGCTGTTCAGTGTCTTTGCGATCTTTTAGGTAGTCGATCAACTTTTCAGAAAAGGTAGTTGTCGAGTAAAAGTCTTTGGGGATATCTTTTGGGTCTTTTCGATCCAAGAATCTGTCGTCTTGCATCCAGAACTTGCCGGCGTTCATAGGTGTGAAGAACCCGTGCGCTGGGTCGTCAAGTTGTGGTTCATAGTTGTAGTGATTACAGCACCCTGACAAGAAGACATAGCTGTTGTCGAAACCTCTTGCGTGAGGTGAGGTCTCATTCGTCGTTCCGAGGTGCCTAGCGACAACATTTAGTGATGGACTGAGGCTGTCAAGTTACTCTCAACCTACCATTTTCCAGACATAATTGTATGATAACCAGCATCTTGAAGAATCTCACTGAGCGCAGCAACACGAAAGTTGAGGTACCCCTCGTAGCCAGGCCTGTTTTTATACTTATCCATGAACCTCGCCATGTGCTCTGTCATCTGGCCCAGGCCCGCAATGTGGTTGTCCGTTCCGGAGAACAGCATGCTCCTAGTTGGAGAGCATGCTGAAGCCGTATGGAAATTGGTCAGTCGCACACCAGTCTGCGACAGACGGTCGAGATTCGGAGTCGCTATCTCGGAGCCAAAGCATCCGAGGTCACTGTAGCCTAGGTCATCGGCGACGATGACGAGAAAGTTGGGTTGCTTGCGGGTTGGAATGGAACCCATATTGAGCTTTAAGATGAGACCGCCCTGGCAGAGCAATAGAGAGAATTTCTGACAATTATTTACATTTCGTTTCTCAATCCGGGGCTATCTACCTTATTAACTGTTTATGGAGAGCTCATTGGAGTGTGGAGTTGACAGGATCTAGCTATTACACACTTGATAATGGAGGGTGCTTGAGGTCCACTTAAGTCCGTCTATCCGCGTCTTCTCCGTCCATCTATCCCAAAAGGAGGATGTATCTACCTTTGGAAATGCTTAAACAGAAATATCTATAACTCCCATAGGCCGAGCATAAAGCATCAGCCACTGGCCCAAATGAGAGGAGCCCCAGAGGCCCTCAACATGCGGTACTGAACTTGCCGGCCCCACTCCGAACGTCTTCCGTCTCCGTCTTTACCCGTCATCTCCGTCCCGGCATACACGGACCCGCCTATCCGCGTCGCCAAAACAACCTATCGAACTCCCCGAAATGCGGGGAACCCTTAGCACGCCATTGACTTTACCAGAGATGGGCGACTATCGAGTTCCGGGTTCACTTAACCGAAGCTGAGACTACAGCCATGCCTTTGGAAGACGCTTACACTCGTCAATGATGCCCGTCCAACATCAAGGATACTATCCAAAGCCATGTTCCATCGCGTCCTAGATCATCTCGCGTGATCGAGTCCAGTTCTGACGAAAAGAAGCTTCAATTTATGGACACAATCGGTAGCCATGTATAAATATGAGCATGTATAGTCTTCGGAAACCAAGAGTTGCATCCAGGCCAGCAACTTGATGATCAGAGACTCCGAGCAACAAGCAAATATGGCTCCTCCCAAACGCACCCGCGGGCTCCTTGCCTGCTTCAACGGCCGCCTCATCTATGCTTGTGGCATAATTGCCCTGTCGCAGCTCAACTTCGGCATGGACCAGGCTGCCTTCAGCAACACTCAGGCCATGCCTTTCTTCAAGAGACAGTTCGGAACCTTTGATGAAGCCACTGGTACATACGTTCTCGAGACTGTCTTCCTATCCCTCTTGAACAGTATACAGTTTATTGGCTTTGTGTTTGGCCTCGTTCTTGGTAACCTCTTCAGCCGTCGCTTTGGCCGCCGTCTGGCAATGTTTCTCATGTGTTTCTGGGCTTTGATATCCGGAATCATCTTGATTACGTCCAAGACCCCAACTCAAGCAATCACTGGTCGTACTATTACGTATGTCTACATCGGAATGGAGCTCGCCTTAGTCCCTGTTCTGCAATCAGAACTTGTTCCTGCAGAGGCTCGCGGCTTTGTCGTTGGTACTTATCAGTCTGGTCTTTTGGTTCGTCGGAGACCCCTTTTCCTTCATGGTGTTCTTTTTCGCTGATGGCTGGTCTAGTTTGGTAGCCTCATCATGTCCATCATCTGTCGAGGTACTAGCGACATCAAGGGGCATGCTTCCTGGAGGATCCCCTATGGCCTTTTCTTCGTGATTCCTTCTATCCTCGCAGTAGCTGTGTGGTGGATCCCTGAGGTATGAGAACTACCATGATAGCTATCGAATCTCTCTAATTCTTCCAGTCTCCCCGTTGGCTATTGACCCGAGATCGCCAGGAGGATGCTCTCAACTCCCTCCGACTACTTCGACAAGGGGCATACACCGAAGACGAGATCGAGCACGAATTTCGAGAAATGCAGAATGCCCTCAACAACACTGTTAAAAAGGGCAGTTTTATGGACATGTGGCGAGGAAGTAAGCTAACACCAATTACCAATATCTGGGATATGACATTTACTGACGACCTCAGCGAATCTCAAACGAACTTTGATCACAATCGGAGTCAACATCTTTCTTCAACTCACGGGTCAGAACTTTGCGTCCAAATATGGCACAATCTTTATACAAAGTCTGAGCTCGGTCAATCCTTTTGTTATGTCATGCATCAACTCTGCGCTCAACATTGTTGCTGTCTTCTTGACACAGTTCTTGTCTGATAAGACAGGACGAGTGTGAGTTTTACCTGAGAACTCACTCGTAACAACATCAACTGACGTGATCCGTCAGTCCCTTGATGATAGCCGGAGCAGTCCTTCAGACAGCCAGTCTTATGACCATGGGTGGGCTCGGAACTGTCAAGAACCCCTCGCAAAGCATTCGGTCTGCCATCGTTGCGACCGTGACCCTCTTCGGCGTCGGATTTTCGCTGGGATGGGCGCCTCTCTCACACGTTGTAGCCGCAGAGATCCCAACGACCGGACTACGCGATCTCACATATGCTGTGGGTGCGGTCTTCAACATTGTCATTCAATGGGCTGTTGCTTTCAGTATTCCCTACCTCATTGACCAATCGCATGCTGGCCTTGGGTCTAAAGTCGGCTTCATATTCGGAGTGACTTCGTTCATGGCGACATTATTCTCGTGGTTCTGTATCCCTGAGTGTGGAGGCAAGACTCTGGAAGAAATTGACGAGCTATTCACTCGAGGAGTTCCTATTCGCAAATTCCGTACAATCAAAGTTTCAGTGGATGCAGAAGCTTCGGATGGTGGCGATGATCTCACGAAACCCGGCAAGGGCAATGTGTCACAGACAACACATACTCCTTAGGCGTTGACGAAGGCTAGGTTAAGTCACAGATATTCTTAACAATGGGCACAGTCAGGTGCATGGCTAGTGGATGCACCCAGGGCAATTTTCTACGAGAGCCAAATTAACAAGTCAACTCAAATCAATAATGTTAACTTTCTTGATTATGCACAGCATAGGGGGGGAAACCACTTACTCCATACTCGGTACTCCATAGCATGAAGCAGTCATCCTCGTTCTTTGGCCAATCTTATGCGCCGTGAAAAGGCTAAGTAACTACCTGCCTTGGTGAACATAGAACGGAGTACTCTGTACTGCTGGTGAATCATGGGTGCCCAAGATAAGGGCATCTGGCTACTACGGTGGCTGGTTGGCTGAGGCAGATGCCGACATTACACTCATCAAGCAAGCCGGTGCTGGGTTTCGAGATGCCGCCACGCTGCCTATTCAGGGAGGTGTTGGTGAGCTTATTGACCCAAAGTTTTATGTCTCAAACTTAATCCTATACATAAATAGACGATCCTATCATACAGCTCAAGACAAAGATAACATTAACGGCACAGACGGGTAGCGAGATTATAGGCCCATTCCCCAATCCCAATAGCCATGGCTACCAAGAATTCAGTCAAATCGTAAAATAATACTCTGGAACACGAACAGTTATATCTACGGAGTAGCAGAATGGATATCCATGGTTGTCATGGACATCCATGCCACCCTTCTGTAGCCGGAATCTTGAGAGCTGAAAAAAGCCCGTTTGGTCTCCATAGTGATTGAGGTCAGGCCATTGGAAGCGATGCAGATGATCAAAACGAGCAACGTGATTCGCTAGTTGAGCCTGAATGTCTTGGGACTCAAGGTGCTAGCAAGTGGGGAAAAGTCTCACGGGGAACAAGTCATTGCGATAACTCACTGCTAAGGTAGTAGTAGTCAGCTCGTCACAAGTCGTTTGTTTACATTACATGGGTACATGTTTAAGAATATGGTTGCCTTTCCAAGAGAGGCAGCAGCAATACAAGTCGGTATGTAAAGAAATCAACTGGGATTGAGCCTTTGTTTGACATGAGCCTCTGCCAACAGTGGCGGCTGGTTCTCGGATCCAATGTTTCCACATACATCATTATATCCATCCAATGCCAACGTGAACTTTGATACATGCCGAGTAACAGACTCAAAGAGGCATTAAACTTTTGTTTCTGGTCCTTTTGGTTTTGGGTATCTATTCTGAACTCATCCCCTTTCAGGGCTGATGAGCTTTGGCCCCCATGTTGTTTGGTGCTACTTGGCCCGTCTCAGTTGTCATCAGCACCTGGCAGAACCGTCCATAGAACCCCAGTAGAGTCCCTGGTACACGATGCAGCCGCTCTGACAACCACTTTATTAACTGCGCTGACGAGAGGCCTGAAAATTACTCGGCAATAGGCACCATGATACTCGGCAGAGTCGACTAATTCCTTCCATTGGTTTAGCGCTTGGCTTTCGGCGCAACTGTCTTGGACCTCCACCACTGATAATGGAACCCACTGCTACTCCGTACAGCACGGCTTAAAACAAGATCTTGCCCTGACAGAGGTGCGTTGTCCCCTCTTGACATGCATCAATCCATGGATCGGATGCTGTTCCTCATTGGATCCAGATGCTCCATTTGATCCATCGCCCATGTGTGTGATCGCCCGCGCGTCCGCCGCAACTCATTAACCTCTACTAGGTAAAACTATCCAATGCGTCCACCTACAGCACAGCGCCTTGCATATTTTAGTTAGTCCCGTCGACTGAGGTTGGTGACACGCCTGAAGACACGCCAAAACGCCCTGTGCCTCGTGCCTTGTTCCTCGTGGTCGCGAGTGTAAGAAAGTGACAGTCGTGGTGACATTGGCAGTGACAGTGACAGCAAAGTGATGCGAGCCCCGTTTCTGTTTCTTGGAGGTATCGCCGGAATAAACCTCTAGGCTCCTCTTTTCCAACCATTTACTTTCCCTTCGTTTCCCCTTCTTCCCGTCCCTTTTTGTTTCTCAGATTCAATAAATCACCAACCCTAAACTTCGACTTCCCATCTCTGTTGTTCTCTGTAGGTAGCTCCTAGTTATCTACTGTAGGTACTGTGCAGCTTGCCTTGGCGTCTAATCAAAGGCTTTCAAAGGTCCACACCAGCTCCAGCCTGGAGCTCTAGACTACCTTACTCTCCACCATCAAACTCACCCGTTGTTACTCGACTTTTGGCACTACCGTGCCAATTCCCATCACTGCCGATAACCTCGAACAATTATCCAGAGTTCACCCTCGCCTTCTTTTCTTCTTTGCATATCCACTCTAGGTTCGCGTCATCTCCTCACCCTCGACCGTTGATCTCGTTCGTATTCGAGCGTGGGAGTCACAGAGCTCTTCAGTCTCTTCTCCCACAGCCTCAAAAGGGCGTCTCCCTACCTCACCTATGCAGCTTCCACCCCCGTTTGATCACCTAAACATATCAACACGATGAAAGCTGCTCCTCTAATCATCAATTGGCACGACCAGAATGCCCCCGTTTACTCCGCACACTTCGAGCCGTCTGGAAAGGGACGTTTAGCCACCGCTGGTGGTGATAATCATATCAGAATATGGAGGGTTCTGGTTGACGGGGAGGACCGCAAGGTCGAGTACCTTTCAACCCTTTCAAAGCACAACCAAGCTGTTAATGTTGTTCGTTGGGCGCCCAAGGGTAAGCCTCTCCTGTCCGCATTCACAATTTCCTCTGCTCACAGCTTCTTTTTCAGGCGAGCTTCTAGCCTCGGCCGGCGACGATGGCAATGTGATCCTCTGGGTACCAAGCGAAACACCCCAAACAGCCTTGGGATCCGATGCCCCGGAAGATAAAGAGTCTTGGAGGGCAAAGCATATGTGTCGTTCTAGTGGTGCAGAGATCTATGACTTAGCCTGGTCTCCTGACGGAGTGTACTTCATCATCGGCAGTATGGATAACATAGCACGAATCTACAACGCTCAGACAGGTCAGCAAACGACTCTCAACGACTCGATAACCGTCAGCTTCTAACACAGAAAACAGGAACACTCGTGCGCCAGATCGCTGAGCACAGCCATTATGTGCAGGGCGTCACATGGGATCCCCTCAACGAGTACATCGCGACGCAGTCCTCCGATCGATCAGTTCATATCTACTCTCTAAAAACCAAGGATGGGCAATACACCCTTAGCGTAGACGACAAGACTCCTCGACTTGCCAGCCATATCAAGGCCGATCTTCCTCCTCGGCGAATCTCCTCGAGCAGTCCTGCTCCTCCCGACTTTGGCCATCGCTCTTCGCTTGCTGTCCTCGATTCTGCGCCTTCTATCGGATCCCCTGTCCCATCTGCACCCGGCACGCCTACTTCTTTCGCACTTCCCATGAACCCTCCCAGCGTCGTTAGCCATAGCCGTCGATCTTCGTTCTCTTCTCGTCGATCTGTATCACCAGCGCCGTCTATGCCTCTGCCAGCCGTCATGCCTATGGACCCCTCTCCAAAACCATCGTCAACGTTGAGCAGTGGGTTGGGAATGAAGAATGCGAACCTCTATGCCAATGAGACGCTCACTTCCTTTTTTCGACGACTCACATTTACACCAGATGGCAGCTTGCTATTAACCCCATCGGGACAGTACCAAAACCAACACCAGGCTGAACGAGACGCGAAACCTACTTATGAAGTGATTAACACAGTCTATATTTACACGCGTGGTGGTATCAACAAGCCCCCAATAGCCCATTTGCCGGGTCACAAGAAGCCCTCGGTAGTGGTAAAATGTTCTCCAATATTCTACACACTACGACAGTCTCCTCCTGTCACGCGCAATATAACCATTGACACATCATCCTCAGAGGAGCCTATTCCATCCCTTCCAGAACCTCTGTCGAAACCATCCCCAGCTCCTTCTGTCATGGATCCCCCTCCTCCACCCTCAACCTCATCAGACCCAAAGACATCGGGTTCAGATTCGGCTTCGGCTACACCAGGTCCAAAGCCTGCCTTTTCCCTGCCTTATCGCATGGTCTACGCAGTGGCTACACAAGACTCGGTCCTACTTTACGATACTCAGCAAAAGACCCCTATCTGTGTTGTCAGCAATCTTCATTGCGCCACCTTTACTGATCTTGCATGGTATGCTGGAGTTCCTATCACCTATCAACTGTGTGGATTGACTAACAAAACTACCTAGGTCAAGCGATGGTCTGACTTTAATGATATCGTCCTCTGATGGTTTCTGCTCAACACTATCCTTTACAGCTGGAGAGCTGGGTGAAGTCTACAAGGGTGAAGTCGGTCCGCCCAAGTCGCAAACAGGGACTTCGTCTAATCAAAGCACTCCCATGCCTACCCCAACGACCGTGTTTGCTCCACCTTCACCCTTTCCCAACGGCTCGCATCACCACCATCGCAACTCGGCGAGCTCTTTTACTGCCCCTTCGCCCCCGCAGTCAGCTTCCATTCTTTCTCAACGTCCCTCGTCTCCTGCGAGATCGAATTCGACGTCGTCAATTGCGACCATCACTACACAGGCCAGCACTGTGCCCGCAGCCGGTGTAGTCACCAATCCACCTCTGATTTCTGGCAATGTTCCAGGCATTGCAGCAGCAAATTCTGGCAAGGTGACTGGTGTTCCGCTCACAACACCTCCTGAGACTCCTCGAAGTACCACAGGCAGTGTTGCGGGCACTAAACGCGACGCCAGTGAAGGCGAAAAGGAAGACAGCAAGGAGCCCAAGAAGAGGCGAATTGCTCCCACGCTGGTGGAGCCCAAAAGTTAGGCTTCAAGACGTGCTGAAAGGGGGCATAGTACTACTATTTCAAAAGTATGGTTTTTCTTCGTTTCTGCAGTAGCAGGGATGGATGTGATTCGGTCTTCACAAACATGTGGATCCGCGATTTAGCAAGCATGGGATGGCGTTTGATGAGTCTGGTTGAAACGGATTGATTTACATGGGATTATGGCGAGGTAGTTGTCCTGGCCAGTCTACGGGATATGAGCTCTGCCAGATATCAAGGTAGACGAGCGATACAGCCATGCACTGGGATGGGAAAATGGGAATGGGGCACAAGCCTAGCTAGTTATTATGTAGTCTACACAATAAATTTTGATAGTCTGTTAAGACACTGCGCATGTCTGTTTCCCCTTATGGAGTGTCATTTCAGCACTGGCTTCCAACCTTGACGCTGGATGAATTTATCAACGCCCTCATCTCGAAGAATATCAGCTCCTAGCCGTCCTGTTAATACACTACGCTCATGATCTGGCCCCCGGACGTAGAATGGGTATGACAAGCGTTCGTTGTCGCTCTGTTTGTTTTTAGTCTCAGTACGGTCTTCGAGTTTCCAAACTGAGCGGTTCTTGACTCTTTCTTCCACAAACCCGCAAGCCGGGCGATCAAGTGAAAGATACCATCGTCGTTGATGTACACTACCAATGGTGTTGGAAGCCCCCGGATATGCATTCGTTCTGCGGACCTCTTCATCTTCAAGCTCACGTATCTCACGTTCCATGGCGGAAAGGTCGTCTGTGTTGGTTCCCGCATCAGTGTTTGAAGGGACATCCTCACTCGCATCACCCTCACTGTCCTCACCACTCGTCTCAGGTTGCGTCTCCGCCTGGGCATGACGGCGTCGTCGTTTCCGAGGTGTTTTTCCGCTCCTTACTCTACCGGCCACATCTTCTGACCTAGTTAAACGAAGGTTCAGGATATATGGATCTGGTAAGCGCGATCCATGCAATCGAATACGTATCTTGCGGCTCTGAAAAGCGGCGTGTAGAAGAGCTTGCTGTGTTGGCGAGGTTGATGGACCTGGTGAGGACGTTGGAGAGGATGGATCAGCTGTTGGGGCATGCTTGCTTTGACGGGGGAGGATGCTATATGTTCCCGTGTCCCAAATGAGAAGTGATCCGGTTGAGGCTGACGCAGTCTCTATAAGATGATTCTACGCAAACATTAATTCTTTTCTTCTATAAGGAGCAAGATTCCATACCCATAAGCAGTGAATTCGCGTCTCTGTCGCGTTTCGATTCAACCGAATACTCTGAGGGTCGCCCGGGACTCCATACATGATCGCCCAGCTGGCGCTACTGGTCTCGTTGATCTGAAGACGAAGGTCATAGTGCGTGCCAGCAATTGGGTGATCATGTTGATGAATGACGAAATGAGCACCTGCAGAGCTTCCAAAGTTTTCAGTATATAGTGAGGTGTACGACGATATCGATAGTGGCGATTGGGTTAATATATGTCTCGAGAGATGAGCTTTGAAATGCGAGAGATGGTCCTCTACAGTGGCTGATCCAGACTCTATGTCGGCAGCTGTTGGTGGTTGTGAGGGCGACAGTGAATCGAGAGTCCATTCGAGATTTCTTCTTTTTATAAATGGATTAGAGATGAAGCCAGGACTTGGTGGTCGCTTTCCAACCATGATGTATGTTGTGTTGTTTGTTGTTATAGTTGAGTTTCCATTGAATCAAGATTGGCCCTCGATAGCTATTCTTTAGGTAGTTCAAGAAGCTAGTTTGGGTAATTGTTTTCATTATGTTTCAGAACTCGGTTTGAAATCTAGAACAGGCTTCCTAGATTTGGTGTTTATTTTCCGTAGCTGTATTTAGGTACTATATAATACTTTCATCACATAATGTTCCCTAAAGTAGCCCGAATGTGACAATATATGATAAATCTTGGTAAGATGAAGACATTCGCAATAGGAGCAACTGGCTCTTCAGGCCAGAAGCACTATAATACAAAAAGGTATCACAAGTGATTAAGACAGACAGTAAAGGTATAAGAGGCCCACGTATATCTTTATACACTCATCATGGGTTGATTTGATAGTTTGTTCGTTTACTCTGTTCCCATCATATTGGATGCCATAGGGTAGGTGAGTTGACAGGATGGCGGCTGAGATTGACGTAAGGTTGGGTAAATAAATCACTAGTCCCTGGAGCCGATTGTCCGTGGCGAAATCGGAAAGCATCAACGTCACATGGAAACTTACCTACCTATGGCCGGCAACAACGGCCAACGGAAAACGGGTTGATTGCAGTGACAGGCGATAAAAAGAGCATCAATTGATGTCTCAACTAGCATTCACGAGCTATTGTACCTGAAGAAATTGGATGCAATACTCGTATGTAAACTCATCAACGAAATGCCCAAGTATAGGTAGGTACCAGTATCAGATCATCAAACATCATCAAAATCTCAAGAGGCAAGCGACCCTTTTTCACGAGTCGTATTGCCTCAAAGAGGTAAGAACGATGAGACTCGGCGGGGCCTAGTCTGCCGAGGTCTGGCTTCTGGTTCGGTCCCATTCGCCCCCGGATTTTTCTTCCCTTTTAAACTTGAATGCGCCTGCCCCCAAGTCTAGTAGCCTAGGTTAAGTGAGGTCCCACTAATTTTTATCTCTAATCAACTCCATCTTTCTCGGCTTTTCGTCTGCGACAATCTCGTCTCCCTCCTCCTTCTCATCACCTCCACGCCCACGCCCGTCACCATCGCCAATCTTTGCGCGTCTTCAATCCTCGAGAGATAGCGACCCTCTCAGTCTTATCAGATCTCGGTATCGGCGGCTCTTTTCCCCGTATCCCGAGGCAACTCCGTTGTCCCCGCGCGCCGCGGTTACGCTAACTGGGGCTGCTGCATATAATCACGGAGTCAGTCTCCGATTTTGCGTCCGGTACACTTTCCGAGGTCCACCACCAAACGTCACGAGGAGTGGCCAACGACCAAGACAAGTCTGCTTTACTAGGAGGCTCAACAACTAGCCCATTCGATTTCTGACACTGTGATACCGTTTGTCGGTACTCCATTGTCCGAACCCGGCTTTTGAACCCTTCCTCCTTGCGATAACAAGAATATCATGGCCTCTCCACCCAAGCCCTGGGAGCAGCCTGGCGCGGCTGCGACTGCTGGTAAGTCGCATTCATCAATTCTTCTCTCTTACTATCTCCTTTTCCATGTCTTCTACCAGTCACCTTTCCCTGACTGCCCGCATTAAAGCGCCTTCCTACTCACTATACTATAGCAACATCGCCTATCTCGCCGTCAGTTGCATCCGGAACTACAACATCGATCACCGATTCGTCTTCTGCCCCTCCGCTTCCTAGTCGACCTTCTTCTCTCACATCAACGGTCAATCAGAACGCTGCCAATTACAGCAGGATGAATTCCTCCCCGTATAGCTCAATGGGTGGCGCCTACTCATCACCCTATTCCAGCCCCTACTCGCGATTTGGCATGGGCGGTATGGGCGGCATGAGTGGCTATGGTAGCATGTATGGCGGAGGTTACGGTGGCTATGGAGGAGGCATGTATGGTGGCATGGGCGGTGGCATGTACGGCGGTGGCATGGGAATGCCTGGCGACCAAAACAGCTTGACCAACACCTTCAACAATAGTACTCAGGCTACCTTCCAAATGCTCGAGGGCATTGTCACGGCCTTTGGAGGCTTCGCTCAGATGCTTGAGAGTACCTACATGGCTACTCACTCCAGCTTCTTCGGTAAGTTTGTCAGTGTGATGGTTCAGGACAGATAGTCAACTAACAGTTCTTAGCCATGGTCTCGGTCGCTGAGCAATTTGGTAATTTGAGGGATACTCTGGGCTCCGTGCTGGGCATCTTCACATTGATGCGCTGGATTCGTACATTGATTGCCAAGCTTACTGGTCGGCCGCCGCCTGCCGATGCGACTGCCCTCACACCAGCTGCATTTGCACGCTTTGAAGGCCGGAGCGTTGGACCAGATGGTAACCCACTTCCTGCGAAGGCCAGCAAGAAGCCCCTACTCTTCTTTGTCCTGGCCGCCTTTGGCATTCCTTACCTAATGTCAAAGATGATCAGGACGCTTGCTGCCTCACAAGAGCAGGAGCAGAAGCGTCTTCAGGCCCAGGCAATGGAATCACAGCAGCCGGTCGACCCCGCTAAGCTTGAGTTTTGCCGACTCACCTTCGACTTCCTCCCTCAGCCGAACACAGGCATGGAGCTCGAGGCAAGAAAGGGTGACCTCGTTGCCGTCCTAAGTAAAAACGATCCCTCCGGTAATCCCAGCGAATGGTGGCAGTGCCGATCCCGCGACGGCCGCCAAGGCTATCTTCCATCTACCTACCTCGAAGTCATCAAACGCCCGGCACAAGAGCCCAAGAAGATCAAGGCCGCGCCCAGCGAGAGCAGCCGCACAAACTCCCTAACCAGCTCGATTGTCCGCCCCGAGGATGGGAAGAGCGAGTATGCCTCTGCCGACGGCATGCAGAGGAGCCACTTCTACTCATAGAATGGTGTCAACCACATTGAAAGCGTTGATAATCACATAAAGACGGCAGTTGTATAATTCTGTCTTGGATATTGCAAGGGTGCATTGGTGATTGGATTACAAAAGTTATCACGGAGTTGTTGGGCGGGTTTCACACACATATTGTATTAGTTCCTAGCGTTCGAATGGTTTCGTCATGTCTTGCGATACCTGGGGAAGCATAACTCCCGCAAAGATACATCTATATATTTTCATATTTTCACTTGTTAAGTAATTGACTGAACTCGAATGGCGTTTCTTTGGTATGAGATTGTTTGGTGTCAATGTTCGTGCGTCAACTTTGATCGAGCATATGTAAATCCTAGAGGACTCGGCATAAATTCATGAACAACGTAGGTAGATCTTCGAAACAATAACAGCAGCAAAATTCAAGACAAGCCGGGGTTTCAAATCCGGGAGTACTAAATTTTTGGACGTCTGGGAGACCATCGTTAATGTTATCATTCACAGTACTGCTCAATAACATGGTTATCTCGTAACAGTTTGCGCCGAGTCGAAATACACTTGCAGTTGTTCTCTGCACATATTTCTGATCGATACTAGATCAGACTTTTCCGTTATGACACGCGTTTCGGGTTCACATCCCCGTTCCCCCTGCAGATAGGACCTCCTCGGACTGTCATAAAGACATCAGTCATCCATGCTTTGTGGTTTTCTCTGCCCATATTCCTAGATAGCAAATACGCGCACCAAAAATCGACCTTTTTCGCCTCAAACAATTCTTCACAAGTACCTTCTGCGCCGCTCGCTTGTTTAATGCTTTGTTGTTTGATCGTTGTTTAACCCTCAGCCTCGTACGCGTTGGACTTGTGCTTGGGCTGGAACTTAAACGTTGGGTGGACGGGGCCAAGGAACATCTCGCTGTGAATAGCCAGTTAGTATAGGGGCCTAAGAAAGCAAATCCGCTGTATATTGCGTCCCAACAGGATAGACATACCTGATTTTGATCCAGTCCCTGAAGTTGTTGGACGCCATAAGCGTTTCCATCTCATCTCTCCCCTCGTACTTAGGAGGTCGGTCATTAAGGCAAGGGGGCAGATACTCCAACAAACCAATAGGGACGTAGCGGTGCGTAAAACTGAGCCATTCGAGAAGGAAACGGCGCGTGAATCCAATGCCGAGTTCATCAGAACCCCAGGCGTCAAGGCCGTAACGCACAAACTTCTCGATGTAGCGGAGACGCTCGCTAGATGACTTATCGAGGTACTGGCCCTTCTCAATCTCCTCAAAGAGCCAAGGCTTGATGAGGGCTCCACGGCCAATCATGACGGTATCAACACGAGCCTTCTCAATGTGCTCATAGTACTCGGTGTGCGAGTAGCAGTCACCGTTGCCGAGGAAGTACATGCGGCCATCCTTGGCGTTAGGGAGGCTGCTGGCATCGGGTTCAGCGATTGTGTCAGTCAGGTTGTCCTTCTGCTTGTTGTAAGTCTTGATGAGCGCGGCACACTCGCTGATGTAGCCCCAATCGGCCTTCTTGGTGTATCGCTGCTCACGGCTGCGTCCATGAAGCGTCAGGGCCGCACATCCAGGAGCACCAAGTCGTTCTCGGTGCTCTCGGGCACCAAAAGCCAGTTTTCCGATAAGCTGAGTGGCTGTAGGACGGGAGTTTCGGATACCAGTGCGGATCTTGGCTGTGATAGGGACCTCCCCTGACACAGCGTTCATACCTCGAATCATACGTTCCAACTTGCCTGAGTTTTCGAGAAGCGCCGATCCACCGCCAGATTTGAAGACCATATCAATCGGACAACCGCAGTTCAAATCGATGAGGCGAAGGTGAGGGCAATAACGATTCAGGACGTCAGCAGCCTTGGTAACGACCCAGTGGTTGTTTCCAGAGATCTGGGCACCGAACTTGATATCCTTGGAGTGGTCGTAGTCATCAAATATGGGGGCAGAGCCTGGGTTAAACTTAGGAGGTGAGAGCTCTGACTCATGAACCTTTAGAAGTGTCCAGTCAGCCTTCGTTCCCTGGATGAGAGGCATACTCAATGCCATCTCCGAGTATGTGAGCTGGGCTCCAAGCTCAACGCAGAGTCGACGGAAGGGCAAGTTTCCTTGGGTGGTGAGGGGTGCCAGGGTTGGGGTCTCTGGGCCAAAATAGAGACGGCGCTTCTCAGAAGGCTTAAAGGGGGGGTCGACGAAGCGGGCGCGTAGATCTTCGATGCCCTCGGTGGACTGATTCTTGCGACGATTCATAAACTCCTCACTCAGCTTGGCTTCGTTATTGAGCCAAGTGATGTATTGGTCAGATCGTGTAAAGTCGGTCCGCTTGCGGTTGAGGTCAATCTTCTTATCCATGCTGACGACGTTGAAAATAGCAGGTCGCTGCTCCTCGGACCCTTCATCTTTAGGCTCACCGTTCTCGCCGCTATCTGCTGAAGTGCTTATGAGCACCAACTCTTTTCGGCCGTCCTCGTGCTCGATTTCCTTCATGTGGCTCTTAACAAAGCGGCACTTCCAGCCTGAGGGGCAGTGGCCATGAGCCTCGAAAACTGGGCATTTGCCTTCGAAAGTCTCAACATCACCTCGGCGGCCTTCCTCAAGATACTTTCGAATATCATGGCAGAGTCTGCATCGATCACCAAACTTGCATTCTCTGGGAGAAAACTCGGGATAGAACGCGCGACTGTTGCAAAGACGAAAGGCGTCGTCAAATTTGCCAAAATCGCGTTCTGTGTTCTGTCCCTTCTTCTTCTTTTCTTTTCTGCCCTTGCCTGGCTTTCGATCGCCATTCTCGGCATTTCCTTCAGCAGTACCGCGTGCCTCAGCTGCGTCATCGTCATTCACAGCATCTTGGGACGCATCTTTCTGAGTTGACATGTCAACAAGATACCTTTGACTTGTCAGTGTGTCTCTAGAACGGGTCTACGGTGGGCTTCTCACTCTTTCTTGATAGGAGCAACTCCCTTGCTGCGTCCGTCAACGTACTCAGTCTTGGAGTCCGACTGTGGTCTCGGGACCTCATTCTCCTTGTCACCATTTGAGGATTGCTGGTTCTCCTTGGGAGCTGGTGCATCGTGCAAATCTTCTCCTGGAACAGACTGAGACGGGATCGAATCGTTAACCTTAACTCTCTTCGAAACCCGCTCTTCATCCTTTGTCGAGGTTGTAATATTGCTGGCATCCGCTGCAAGTTCTGCGTGCGCATTGCCTGGGGAGACGCCACCCATCTGAGCGTCGTGTTGCTCACTCATTGCAGGAACGGCTGAGAATGGTCAGTCTCTGGGGACAATGCATGTGTTGAGAGAAAATTATGAGTTCATAAATTCGCTGTGAAGAATACGTAAAAAATTTATGAGGGGAGTGAGTGAGTGTAAGAGAGGAAAAGAGAGAAAGGCAGGAACGGTAGGAGAGAAATGCAAATGTTTTTCTCGGTGTTACAGTGCGTGAGGAAAAGTGCCTTACCTCTTGCACTGCTATGCACAAATTAATAGGTGATTGTCTTTTGACAGTGCTCGTTCGGTGCCAGCTGATGAAAAGATCAGTCGTTAAAACCGAGTTCGACTTTCAAGTGCATACTGTACCTAGGGAGAAAACCTCGATTGTTGGTGTAACTAAAACTGCACTAAGTTCCCCTAGACCTACTCCGTATTTCTAGGTTTTATGTGCTATGAGGTCAGTGAGAGGTCGAATGTATCAGGTACGTTAGACGCCTGAGAGCCTCATCTCCGCACTTGGTCACAGGGGCCGGGCTCGCTAAAAAGTGTTCCAGAATCAACGACAACAAAGCTAGGAGGTACTCAGGTACTTCGACTCAGGACGACTGGACCTATGCTCAACTCAACCCCAGCTCCAACGTTGCACGATCCCTACCCTTCGACATCATTTACATCACCGGCTCGCCTGCCCCTCCCTTCACTTTGCGCCGTTGGCAAATCGTCAATTGACTTTGGCTTCAGCTGCCTGCTTTTAATTGCATATTGTTCGTTCCTTTTTGCCCGCTTCTCTGCTCTCACTCATTCCACCTTGCCCCCACCTCGAACGGTTCAAGTCTCAAGCTCAACGTTTTGTCTAGGAAGGCAATGAAGAAGAACCTACGCAGTCATGGCGGATCCGAGGAGGTCCCCCGATAAGTCACATCTCAAGGCGAAGAGCATTCAACAACAGCAACAACGATCACCTGCTCCAGCTCCAGCTCCAGCTCCCACAACCACACGGCCAACCTTTGTTGACGACGATTCCGACGATGATGATGAGTCTAGCGATCAGATGCCCCTACCCAGAAGCCATACACCAGGTCATCTTGCCAGCAAAAGCATACAAGCAAATCGTCGAAAGCCTTCCGATCTTTCTATCCGGCAGCGCTCTCAATCCGCATCACAGACCGCCCTGCAAGGAGTTTCCACCTCGAGACCAGCCCACAAACCACCACATTCAATCTCAACAAGCGCTGGCGATGCCTCAAGTGAGGGAGATCGACATAATCGGCGACCAACCGCTTCACGATCGACATCCGCCATAACGAGCCGAACGACTGCACAAGCGACCGCTCGGTATGCATCGCATAGATCTCGGATATCACAAGACGAGTACACTGCGTTTCCGTCGCTTCCAGATCCCCGGACGGCCCCAAACGTCGACGTGGCTCCAGCATCTGGCATGTACTGGTCCAAGGCACCCGTGTCGGGCGCTCCTCACACCTCATTACGAGCACACACAACAACAATCATTGGCTCGAACGTTTATGTATTCGGCGGCTGTGACTCGAGAACATGCTTCAATGATCTCTACGTGCTGGATGCCGATTCTTTCCATTGGTCTATACCTCATGTCGTTGGTGATATACCTGTTCCTCTGAGAGCCATGACATGTACTGCCGTAGGCAAGAAACTCATCGTGTTTGGCGGAGGTGACGGCCCGGAGTATTATAACGATGTCTATGTCCTGGATACAACAAACTTCCGGTGGACAAAGCCCCGTATTATAGGAGATAAGATGCCATCGAAGCGGAGAGCGCATACTGCCTGTTTATACAAGAATGGTATATACGTGTTCGGCGGCGGCGATGGGGTCCGGGCTCTAAATGATATATGGCGGTTAGATGTTGCCGATGTCAACAAAATGTCATGGCGGTTAGTGTCAAGTTCAGATAAGTCAAGTCCTGGGTCAAAAGACTATCGTCCCAAGGCAAGGGGCTACCACACTGCCAACATGGTGGGCAGCAAACTCATCATATTTGGAGGCTCTGATGGCGGCGAATGTTTCGACGATGTATGGGTTTATGACGTTGACGCCCAGTTATGGAGAGCAGTCCCTATCCCCGTTGCTTTCCGCCGCTTATCACATACGGCCACAATAGTCGGCTCCTATCTTTTTGTCATTGGAGGCCACGACGGAAGCGAATACTCGAATGATGTGCTGCTCTTGAACCTGGTTACAATGACATGGGATAGACGCCGGGTATACGGCAAAGCACCTTCGGGTCGTGGCTATCACGGGACAGTGCTATATGATAGCCGTCTCATTGTCATTGGAGGTTTCGATGGAAGCGAGGTGTATGGCGATGTTATGCTGTTAGAGCTAGCTGTGCATGCATACTATTCGCAAATTAGCCATTTTACCATCGAGGTTTAGAGATATGAGCTAATACAGCTCCTTTGGATATATTAGTGTGTTTGATCATCAGTTTGTTGTTCTGGGATGGTAAATGGACCCTTCAAAAGAGGGCTAGCAGGGAGTCGGTGGTGCAGATCTTTGTTAACTTAGTCTAGAAAAATGAGATGCTGGGTCATCCCAATATGTCCTCTTTATATATGTACGCTTGAGATAACGATGCTTGCTTGATTCTTGCTGTCATGGCTACATATGATACATTGGATGCAATTCAAACCCCAGCCAAACATGTTCCAGACCAATTTTAAGAGGTTATAACTCCAAGGAACCATCCCACCCGCTCTATGCGCATAGAAAAGACAAACATAAAGGCAGTTTTGTTTCAATGACTGTCCCAGTTGATCATAGCCACTTCCTTTCCATCCCGGCTCATTGGCTCATGAAACTTCGGTTTGTTGGTAACAAATATACAATTTCCAATTTCCTCCGACGTTTGGCGACTTGTGCTCGGCGTAGTATTAATGATGATTTTGAAGGTAATTTGTATCGAGGAATGGTTTTTGTAGAGTTAATTTTGTCGTAATAAGACAACATGTTTATTTTAAGCCTTGTTCTCAGCTTGCTTCTTAGCGGCCAATCGTCGCTCCTCAGCAGCGACCATATCTATTAGCCCAGTTAGTCACAAAACGTTTTCTGCAAGATCTCAAATGCAACTTACCCTTCCAGAGGTCTTGGCCCTCATACTCCTCCTTGTGGATCTTCTTCTCGATGAGTCGCTTGTGCTCTGGGTCCTCGGGGTCGACGACCATGACGGTCTGCCAGCGACCCTCACCCTTCTTGGCGTCGTTCATCTCAAAGACAGCTGAGATGATGAGAACCGCGAGGGTCAGACCCTGAGCATACACACGGGCCTGTACGACCTTGTTGGCTGTGTTCATGGGCGAACGGCTCACGAGCGCGAATGCGACACCCATGGATGCGAGCCATGAGACAAATACGATAGAGTAGCGGTTCTCCTTGCCGTACTCCATGAAGCGCTCCCAGGTCGTCTGGTTCTCGCGAACAATCTGCTGGGCGCGCTGGGTCTGGTCCTCGTAAAAGTTCATGGGGTTCTGCTTCTTCTGGAAATCCATGGACCAGCGATCGGCGTTGATAATGGCGCCAAATGTGCCGGCGGATGTGACGAGGAACGTTCTGAAGGGGATTGTGAGACCGCGGAAAGCAGGGTATCGCCTTGAAGCAAACATGACACCTCCAACACCAACAGCAAGACCAAGACCACCTCCGATGAGACCGCCCTTGACGACAGCTGAGTAGTGCGCCTCCTCTTCTTCCTTTGTGAGAATCTTCATGATTGCGATTTAGGGTTGGACTGGGATTGAGGGGAAAGACGGTCGTGGGAGAGGCTGCGAATTTGTAGAGATGGGATTTCTCTCAGGGCGCAATAGTTTACGGTGTTTTGTTTTCAGCCCGGGCGAAGGTGGTGGTATGATAAGAAACCGAACGAGGTGGGTTGCAGCGTGGTTTAAGCCCAGGGTGGGTCAACTAAGAGGATGCTGAGTTTCAGTACCTGGAAGATGTCGTAAACGTGAGGTGAGGTTGATGTTCTAGTGTCGTGATAAATTCGTCAAGTTTGCGATTTGGGGGGAATGGTGTTTTCTGTAATTGATGAGTATCTTAGATCCCCTCTTACTTATCCTCTTGTATATAAATGGCAAACAAATTTTCATGGCCGATCGTACCGTTTTTCTTGCATGACGGTAGATGATGTCAGTTTCTTCCGAACTCGTCCGGCGCAAACAGTCACCGAACTATGCCCGAGTCGCCGAATGGGCTTCGAATTCAAACGGAACTGCTTGTAAGTAGAGAGAACTCCGAGGATATGCTACAGCCAGAGATGGGTTTGGGACAATCTTTGCCAATATTCGAGTGAATTGACCGATCTGCTTGCTAATATTACAGAGCTGAGTATCGGCTGCCACGGAAGCAAACCCCCAACCTCTTGTTGTAATGCAAAACATGCCATCTTCGAAGTGTCTTTCGTACAGAGCCATGATAGATGGCAAACCAGACGGACGGCCGACCACTGCTCTCCATCTCCAGCGGTTTACACCCCTGCGTCGCCCGCGAGAGCCCTAAAAAGGCATGGCAGCACATAGTATCTTAAATATCAAGCAAAGCTCAGTTATGCCGCAGAATGCCGTGACTAGCTTCCAAAAGCAGCGGCAATGATGGCGGCGCTCTGCGGTGAAAGCGGCATAACAATGTTCAATTGTGTAAACGCGATGCCGCACTCAATCCGATCTCATGGCGCTAAACCTCCACCCTACACAATGAACCAGGGGTCTTCAAGATCATTTAATCAACCCGCGGTTGGCATCTCGGCATCACCTTTGAAGTCCTGACGTCAAACAAGATCTCCTACCGGTAAGCAACGACTTTGGTTCTCGCCAACTCTCGGGCCATCGGGCTATGCCAGGTTCTACGGGTTACTGGCGTTCCTAACTCGGGATGCTTATGTGAGGTCGCCGTCTAGATCCGCATCTGGATGAGCCACACGGTTTTGTCTCGCCTCATATCTCGCTTCACGCCAGGTCGGAGCGCCCCGAGAAACGAAACGCCTCATGGCCTGACATAGGGAATGTTCCGGGAATGATGAGCCCTTGATCATTTGGCAATCCTTGGTCAGTTATGATTGGCTAGTATCAGTATATGCCACTTTACTTACCTACCCGGGACCGATTTGCCATTCTATGGTCTCAAGGTAAAGTGCAAAGCTGATCTGTCGACTCTCGAACGATAGTCAGCCGAGTAAAAAGAGATTGTCTCGGTAAATACAGCAAACCCCATTTGATTTATCAAAAACAGCCAAGCATGTGTCGACGTTTTCGAATGAGGTATGTTGACATGCAGCATATTCGAATCTATTGGTATCATATAAGTCAAAAATGGGGCTATTGAGTGATGTTGTCCGCATCAGCAGTCTCATTTCTGGTCCACGCACCTCAAGAATTCGATTCATTTGTCACAAATACATGATCAATATGCGGACCAAAAGTCTCGAGTACCAGCTCCAATTGAGCTTACTATGCCGTGCCTACTACGCAATGCCCTACATGTGTATCAACTATCATCGGATAGCATTAAAACATAATCTCACCTAACTAGGTAAAGCTTGGTAGTATATTTATGGAAAGAGACAGAAGAAAAGGACAAGTTTGGTCCTACCATGAACGTAATGGCAACTCAAGCGGCTCAGGCCTGGCCCATATTCACACACTCAACCTAAGTGTTCACCATCTCTTCACATCTGTCCTAGACCGGATACCATGTTGCTCTCGTGTATTTGCGAATCATATCGGTTCAATATATAGGACAGGCCTCGTGATCGGACCCCAATAAGAGGATTATACTATCGAGTCAAGACCAGACCAGGAGTAACTCCACCACTGCAAAGTGAGTTCATTGAGGGCCCTAGGCAGCTATTCAGGGCTAGTGGCAAGAGATAAATACTTCCTGAAACCAGTGTATCCATGATGACTTCGACATTCGATGATGACTTTGCTCAAACCCAAGGCTTCTGGGGCTGAAGATAGACCAGAACAATCCTCATACCATGTTCTGTTATCCTTCAAACGAGACCAATACCATATCGTGCCCTGCATACGATGAGCTGATACTCCCGAATCTTTGATCAATGTACCAAAGAAGGACACAATTGTAGCTTCAGACTAGGCTCCTTCGGCATACACCCTCTCTTGACCTCGGCAGCCTTTCTTTGGGCAAGATCTGCGATGCTGGAGTTTGTGGTCCGATCTTATCTGAAAGACTGAAAGAACACTAACATGTCCATCCTAAGCCTCCCGCCTATGTACTACCTCACCTCGCTTGGATGCATGGCATCACAACTAGCCGCCCCCAGTAGATCACCAAGCCACGTTACTGACGGGCTGACCAGGGTGGGCAGTTGCATTCTGAAGCATTGATGGCATTTCGACATACCGACTCGTGCGATTACTATAATCCCCTCGTTGAGTCAGGCCTGGGGCCGACATATCCTGATGTAATTGCCTGCCGGTATCGTATCGCCCTGCTTGAAATGGCTCCCAGGTGTGCTGATCTACAAATATCCTTAGCTTGTAGGTTCCCTCTGGGCACTATAATGACATCACTGCTTTTCATAGTGCAATTTCAAGAACCCGATGCTTTCGGGGACCATTCATTTGCACGCGGAGGCTATCATTACGGTGTCAAGCTGTTATCGATTTGCGCCATCCCCATGTTCAATGTCAAAAGCAATGCGAGGTCGGAGAACCATACTTGGAGCAATGACCGGCAATGACGTCGGTTATACCTGGGAGCAATCACTCGAACTCCAGCTAAGTAAGTATCCTTGCTATCTGCAATGAGACCGAAGTTGCTGAAAGCCTCATCACCTACATCAAGACTGTTTATTAAGGCAACATGGCAGAATAAATAATTGCAAAACACGGGAGTACCGTATTCTGAATGATGACGAAACAGTATACACAAAACATTCAGAGATGGTTGTCCAAGTATGGTCTGCAAGCAGTTCAACTGAGTCGTTGCTGTCGGATCCTGATTTCTGTGGTATCTAGAAGTGAACTGGAGCTCCAACGTTGATCTGTGGAGATTGACTTCCGTCACTCAACTGCAGCAAAGCCTTGATCGAAAGCTAAGCCTGCGGGTTGATGCTCAACAAGGAATCCCTCCCTACAAGACACTTGGCACTATCGAGCCTCGTTGTTCTCTCGCTGCATCTATGGCTTCCATCCGCAACTGACACCGATATTTGGATCACAAGATCAGTGGTTTCAATGGCGCTGCTGAAGCGCGACTGAAGGGCAGACATGTTGAAGCTAAACCTTTTAAGTCAACGAAAGCATTTGGGCATTCTTGCATGGAAGCCAAGTCCAAGAACTTTTTAGTCAGGACCCGTTACCTAGCCATGCTTTATTAGCTCAATCCACATGAAAGGCAACGGCGTTGTGTGGTGCCTC